ATCGATACGGGCATCTGTATTGGTTCTTGCTTCCTGTTGCTGTTGCCGCTGCAACAACAACTACTACGACGACGACGACTACTACTACTACTACCACTACCGCTACCACTACCACTACCACTACCACTACCACTCCACTACCACCACCACTACTACCACCACAACCACCACTACTACTAGTACCACCACGACTACTACTGCTACTACTACTGCTGCTGCTGCTACTACTGCTGCTGCTACTACTACTACTACTACTACTACTACTACCACCACACCACTCTCGGTTGTTTCTGTAGCACAGAGGCGCTGGCTGCTTTCACAATCTTTGCCGTGTCGCTTGGCCGGACCTGCAGGATGACGGCAAGTCCCCGAAGCCCTCATTCGGAACCCGCAGCCTTAGGTTTAGGGTTTAGGGTTTAGGGTTTAGGGTTGAGACCTTGAATCCAAACCTCGGAAAAACTGGCCCTTATAAGCTCCCAAGCCTGAAACAACACTCAACCCCAACCATCAATAGTGTAGAGTATAGCATAATACAACACAACACAACATGACATGATATGCCAATGCATATTTCCTTATTATATGACCATGAGACCAATGGCCTGCCTCGATTTGGTACGCCTTATCTCCCTCGATCTCCACCAAGATCGGCACGTAGCTGCTAGGACTCGGCAGGCTTGGGATGCAGAGCTGGGGGCAGCGTGCAGGCAGCTCATCCCACTAAGCCAGCCGTGCTGAAAGAGTGACATCTCATACAGCTGTGTTCCCCACCAGCGTGTAAGCATCACGGATGCTGCTCACATAAAGCCCCTAACTTTAGAATAAACCCTAAATCCTAAACCTAAACCCTAAAACCCTAAAGCCCTAAAGCCCGCCTTAAAACCCTAAAGCCCGAAGAAGTTGAGTGGCAGACTTGGGCTCCGCCAGCCTAACGACGCGGCTCCCGGGAGCCTGGGCAGTCGCAGAGCAGTGCCGACTTCAGCGCGGAAGAAGCCGAAGCCCTTTAGGGTTTAGGGTTTAGGATTTAGGGTTTTGGTTTTAGGGTGTAGGATTTAGGGTTTATAAGGTCTAGGATTTAGGGTTTAGGGTTTAGGATGTAGGGTTTTGAAATTAGGGTTTAGGGTTTGGGTTTATAAGGTTTAGGATTTTGGGTTTAGGGTTTAGGATTTAGGGTTTTGGCTTTAGGATTTAGGGTTTAGGGTTTAGGGTTTTGCATTTAGGGTTTAGGGTTGAGGGTTTATAAGGTTTAGGATTTAGGGTTTAGGGTTTGGGTGTATAAGGTTTAGGATTTAGGGTTTAGGGTTTAGAGTCTCATCTGTATAGCAGGGCTTCTGAACACTAACGACATTACAGCAAGAGCTATGCTGCCTATGTTCATCTCTGAACCCAGAGACTCCCAAACCCCTTAATCAAGGAATATACCTTAAATTATAATTGGATCCCTAATATGATTTAAGGTATATTCCTTAATTACGGGGTTTTGGAGTCTCTGGGAAGCCTATGGCCGACATCGAGACCTCGCTGAGTAGGCTGAGTCCTCGGCGCGCCCTCTGCTCATCCTGGGGGCCGCCAAGGCCGCCAGAGCCAGCGAGAGATAGCCATAGGCTGGGGTCCCTCTTTGCCTGTTTAGGGTTTAGGGTTTAGGGTTTAGGGTTTAGGGTTTAGGGTTTGGAGTGACCCCTAAATAATAAGGGTACCCTTTTTCCTAGTATTCGGCTTTAATAAGGAGACCCCAAAATAAAAAGGGCAAAAGGGTACTACTCAGGAACAATAAAAAGTTAAACTTTCAGATTACTACTAAATTATAAGAACCCAAAAACTTTAAAGGTTGGGTATTGGGGAACTAAGTTGCCCAGGGCCAGAGCAAGGCCCTGCGTGAGAGCCGGCGCGAGCTGCTCCGCTCTGCAGCCTGCTCCCGAAGTCCCACTGGCTTGGGCTCGCGGCTGAAGCAAAGGCGAGCATCACCTGACGAGACTAGGACACGCAAAGAATGAAGCCGACTCACTCAAACCCTAAACCCAAAGCAGAATTGAAGGATGCGAAATCCAAGATTCAGGCGAACGCAGGGCCGCCACGGCAGATGCCGCGAACGGAAATCCGCTTCTGAAGTCGCTATGCAAGCTGCTATCTGCACGAAGACCAGTGGCTGTGTAATACTACGAAGAATAAGAATAATACCCATCATAATGATCGTATTCAACTATATATGAATCGTAAAAATACGAGTACTAATGATATTAAGAAGCAATCAAGTTGATGCCACATGAGAGTGTGCGTGAGTTCTACAAGACGGTCTGACGAGCTTGATCCGAAACTTCTGCCTGGACCCTCCCCTAATACATAAACAGAGAGAGAGAGAGAGAGAGAGCGAGACAAAGAAAGAGAGAGAGCGAGAGACAGATATATATATATATATATGTATATATAGTACGAAGCTGCGCAAACCGCTGACAGCATGGAAATGCCGAAAATATATAGTACATATTGGGGGCCCAGCAAAAAAAGTATTTAGGGCGTTCGCTTCAGAGCCTGGCCTCTGGACCTTCTCAAAACTGTGCATCCTCTCGTGCAGCGACCACTCACTGCGCAAGGGCACTGTTGGGCTGAAGTGTATTATCTCTCTTTATTGTGATTATCATCATCATTATTATTCTTAGTACAACTATTCTTACTACTATCATTATTATTATTATTGTTGCTGCCATTCTTACTATAGCATGATTATTGTTATTGTTGTTGCTATTCTTACTAGTATTAATATTACTGTTGTTATTATTATTGCTAATATGGTTATTCTTCTCATGATTACCAATATTGCTATTATTACTACCGTTATTGGGGTTAGGGCGCCGGGGCTCCAAAGCGAAGGCTTTCTCTCGCGAAGCAGGAATCAGGGCGATCTTCTGCGCACGCTCACAGGAACTCGCGGAGAAATCGCTCCGTGAATTCAGGGCGGAACCTGGAACGGTAATGGTAATAATGGTACTAATAATAACGATAAGAATAACAACAATAATGGTAATAGTAACAATAGTAATAGTAATAATAACAATAATAATACTAATCAATCACCCGTCTTAGCAAGTCAAGTATCCGAGAGTTATGGAATGGTGCGTCCTGGCAAGCCCTAGACGAAGACGGGGAGGAGACACAACCGAAAGGTACGGATGATGATCTAAATCCTGCACTACCCATAATAAGGAATAAATATAAACCATAATTCCCTACTTAGGGTCCTTTAGGCGTCTGAAGGGCACGGCTATCAAACTTCTGAAGTGCACTATGGATACAGCGACAGTCAACCTCCACTTCGTGACAGAACTCATCCGTATAATTTTGCAGGGTTTGATGGTTTGATGGTTTCCCTGGCCCACACCGAATAACTCTCTGGGACTAGTACTACTACTAATAATTAGAATAGGGTTTTGGGCCCATTATACTGTAATTATGGTAAGGAACCTCCCCATAATAGTATAGGTAATTATTTAGGTCCCTGCATTAATTCTATAGACCAGGGGCTATGGTGGACTCATTCGCTCTCTCTCTCTCTCTCTCTCTATCTCTCTGTACATATATGCGTACTCACATATGAGTATATACACCTGTATGTGTATATATATATAGACGCTTTTTGTATACATATATATATATAT